CAGGCTCCAGCTGCAGCAGAGGCTCCCACCCCAGGAGCTGGCCCCTTCACACGAGAACTAACCAGGGCAGCTTCAGGAGCCCAGGCGTTGACAGCCTGCCACCCTTACATGGCAAATTTGAGGGGGCCCCCAAGATCCACTGACCCTCGGGCTCCTCTTTACTTCTCCCCCAGAATGGCCCAATAAGGCCAGGGCTCCCCCTCCTACACACCTACACACACACACACCGGCAGTTAGCCCTGTCACTGCCCCCGGATTGTCTTATTAGCCAGAGTGGCCAGGCTGAGACTAGAAAGCCCATCCTGCCACTGCCGGCCTAGTCTCCATCTGCTATGGAGACCATCTGCCCCTGGCGGGGGGCGGAGGTGGTCTACAATGCCACCAGCCAGCCAGAGGAGGGGGTGCTGCCCCCTAGGCTCCATGTGCCAGATGGACCTTCTATATTTTACCTACCACTCCACCTCAAGAGCCCTCTGCTAGGGAGGGACACCTGTCCCAGACCTCCTGGGATCAAATTAGCTAGGGAGGGGAGATGGACCCTTCCTTCCCTGGTCCCTCGCCACCCTGAGCTCACTGTCCCATGCCCTGGCAATCCACCTCTGAGCACTGGAGACCACAGGCTTCACAGCTGGAGGGCCCTGCAAAGGTCCTCCCCTGTCTGTAAGCAGGAAGGCAGGTGCTGCCACCTCCAAAGGGGCTGTCCCCAACACTCCACTCAGCCTGGCTCCACCCCCTCCCCTTAACCCCTCCGTCACTGGTCTCAGTGTCTCTGAGCAGATGAGGAGAGGGATGGGGAAATTTTCAGTGCTCTCGGGACAAGTTGTTTCTGCTATAGAAGCTGGTTTTTTTTGGTTTGGAAAGGTGTTTTTTTTTTCTTTTTTCCACCCAGTAATGTGAAAACATGAAACCCGAAACCAACCCCCTACATTTGTCACCTCTGAGAGAAGCCTTTGGGGTAACTGGGAGAAAGCTGTAAATGAGTCAGGCTGATTCAGGGCGGGTGGGGGGGGCTGCCCAGCTGCCTGGGGCACCACAGTTTCATTAACCCGATCTGAGCATGGCCGTCAGGTGACAGATACGGGGAGGGGAAAGGGCTTCCTTTCCATCCTCTGCTTACCCCCAAACACAGCAGTTCCTTTGACACATTCCTCTTGCCTAGAAAAAGCTGGGTCCTTAGCTCCGTTCTGGACGAGCCTTTCCTACCACCACGCAGGAGCACAGGGCTGGACTGTGCAACCACCCCAGCCCCCAAGCAGTTTGTTCCCTTTGTATCAAGCGAAGCAGACAAGACGAACAGGGAGAGCTAGGTGTACGCTTCACCTAGGAGAAGTAGATTGGACAAGACTTCCTAAATGTGATGATGATGGATCCAGGAATAGGGAGCTGGGAGATTCCTTACAGGGAGCCTGAGAAGCAGCGGAGACGGTCTTCCCTCTGGCCAGAGCAGTTTAGGAAGAACAGGCAGAAGCATGAACTAGGCAGCCTCCTCTACACTCCAACCTCTCAGCAGTAGGCTTGGGAAGGGATGCTCTGCCTCCCTTTGTTTCACAGTTTCTCTCTGATCCTTCCCTGCACTTTTTGCTGAGACAGATCTATGGAGCCCTAGTTGGGTACAGAGAGCGCACCCTCTGACCCAGGGAGGCAGCTGCACAAGCCCAAGAAGCCTGCCAGCTCCGCCTCAAGACAGTACTTCAGGTCCGCCCCCAATTCCTCCACTCACCTGCAGCTTTGAGCCAAGACTCCCACCCACGGTTCAGCCCGCCCTTCCCCAACACCCTGCACATAAGGCTCCAGGAACTGGCATGCTGGGAGAACTTGAAGGGGGAGCCCAGCACCACACACCCACTTGCCTCACTGTTTCAAGTCCCAACAGGCCCTGGCCTCACCGGCCTCCACAGGTAGGCAGAGCGAGTCTGTATCTGTTGGCTGCCTTCCCCGCTGGAGGACGTGCAGCTCTAACTGCTCAGTGCCCCACAGTCAGGAGCATGGGGGAAGAGGACAGTGAGCGATAAACAGATGATTAAAGCTGTACAGAGGGAGACCCCTCCCAGGTCTGGGTGGAACCACCCTATGGGAAACTTGGGGCTCTGTGACGGAGACCTCCCTACATGGTCCTCACTAGAAACAGGAAGGAAAAGTACCTTCCTGCCCAGTCTTCCTCCTGGGACCACACTCATCTCAAACTCAGGGTGAGAAAATCCCATTTCTTCATGGGCGCTCGCCCCCCGGCATTAAATTCAATAAGCAAACACATTCAAGTACCTCCGTATAAGGACACTTCTGAAAGAAGCCAAGTGTGTTGGGTGGGTGGACACCAAGTCCCTGAGAAGGAATCCCAGCAAAGAGGCAGCAGCTCCACCTGCTGGGCCCTTTTCCACCCTGGCACCAGGAAGCAGTTAGAAATCAGAAAAAGATTGGCTGGGAGCAGTGGCCCATGCCTGTAATCCCAGAACTTTGAGAGGCCTAGGAGGGGTGGATCACCTGAGATCAGGCTTCCAAGACCAGCCTGGCCAACACTGCGAAACCCCATCTCTGTGCCTGTAATCCCAGCTACTAGAGAGGCTGAGGCAAGAGAATCGCTTGAACTCAGGAGGCGGAGGTTGCAGTGAACCAAGATCACGCCACTGCACTCCAGCCTAGGTGACAGAGCGAGACTCCATCTCAAAGAAAAAGATGAACATATTCAAGAATAAAGCTAGGGCTTGACACTCTCCCACTTTGGTGGGAAGGGCCCAAGAATGTGGCAACAGACTAAGACTGAGCCAGGCTCACTGAACTCTCTGTTGGACAGACCTGCAGGGTCCACATCACCATAGAGCTGCTATTTGGAGACTTGGTTTGTACAAGAGGCCTGAGCCAAACAAGTTCTGACTCAGAAAAGCCCTCCAGCTCCATAGGCTGCCCACAGCCCCCTTGGCACAGCTAGAGCAGTATGCCACCAACAGCCCAAATCGCCCCTAGGCCAAGAAGGGTGGATCCTAAGCAAACAATACTCTTCCCTCCCCAACAAGTCTGGGGTCCCACTGAGCACGAAAGCAGCAAAGCCCTGGCCGATTCTCAGAATCCATGGGGCTGGGGCCTGTCTTTGCTCAGTCACAGGGACAGCCAATCTCTTTGCTTAAAATCCTTGAGCCTTGGAGACAGCACTCAGTACAACAGCAATTCAGAACACCCAGCTCCCCTTACAGCATTCCGATTACCTTCAGCCTGGAACTCACAGTACACCAAAAGGATGGACTTTCCTGCTCCGTTTGGCGCACCTCTTCAAGTGTCACTGTGCTCCTGTGCCTGAGGGTGTGTAGGTATGCCTGTACCTGTTTATGAGGCCTGGGTTATATGTGCCTTGTGCATCTGTGAACATGAGATTCCATGAGGCGAGCCTACCTTCATGTGGGTGTATGGTTTGTGAGGAGGCATTTAGGTCTATTCCCCGTCCTCTCCCCCACTTTCCCACCCAGCAGGGGCAAAAGACGGAGTAGCAGCATCCAGCTGCTTGACCCCCGGATCAGACTGCTGCTTAGTCTGCTCACTCCCCTGTCCAGTATCACCATGATGAGCCCCTTCCCTGGTTTCATCCTCAAGTCTCTCAAACTGTCAGCACTGACTGAGCTCAGCACGTCCCCAGAAGGGAGTGCACACACACAATGGGAAGGACTTCCTTCCTGAAGGCAAAACCTACTGGCTTCTGTTTCCTGGCCCTTCCTGTTTTCCAAGGCCCCTGATGTAAATTCCACTGGGTACACCCTGAGGAAACAGGCTTCCAGTCTAGGCTTGTACAGGAACCTCACAATCACGGGCACTTATTAACAAATTTCTTTTAAAGCCTTAAAATCCACACATGGCTGTTCTCCCTCCATGGGGTAAGGGCTGAGCAAGCCCCCCAGAACCCCGGTCCCTGTACTCCCATGTTTGCTCTAAGCATGTTCAGTCCTGTCCTTACTGGCCTTGGCCTATAATCCTGACATGAGCAAACAAAGGAAGGAAAGAACCAGGGAAGAGAAAGAAGCTGGCTAACACACCCAGGGGTCCATATTCCCAGAGTGAAGGTCTGCACCAAGCTATTCTGGCCTTGGAATTGTGAGTTGACATGGAGTGCAGAGGGCAGAGACACAGCCAGGCCTATTCTGATTTGGGCTTCATCAATAAAGAAGAGGTGCTCCCGTAGGTTCCTTGTTCCAAGAGTTTCTATCTGCAGCTTTAAGTGAGAGAAAAAAATTCCTCCTTGGATAATTTATGAAGCCACCTGAATAGCTAATAAAAGAAGAATGAGTGACGGTAAAATCAGTCTATCCACTAGATAAAACACTATGCAATCATTAAAAATAACGTCTATTTTAATGTTTACTCTAGCATGTATTACTGTAAAAATTTCTGTGATGTAACAAACTGGGAAAGAGCTAATGATTTAATTAAAAAGTAGGACATCAAGTTGTTTACTGTAAGTACAAAACACAAAAACATGGACAAAAAGTGATGCGTTTTATAAAATGGAGAAAATCAACTAGACTACTCACAGTAATTGTCCACCTCCACAGCTCTAGCTCCTAGCACAGTTAACTATGCAATAAATATTTGTTACTATTGAATAAGCACTGGGATTAGGAATGAATTAATCTATTTTCCAAATCTGCTGTAATGAGATCCTATGTTTCATAATAAAAAAAATTTTGGGCTGGGTATAGTGGCTCAACCCTGCAATACCAGCCCGTTGGGAGACCAAGGTGGGAGTATCACTTGAGCCCAGGAGTTCAAAACCAGCCTGGCCAACATGGCAAAACCTGGTCTCTGCATAAAATTTAAACGTTACTCAGACATGGTGGCACACGTCTGTAGTACTAGCTACTCAAGAGGCTGAGGCAGGAAGATCACTTGAGCCCAGGAGTTCAAAGTTACAGTGAGCCATGATCACACACTGCACTTCCAGCCTGGCAACAAAGACCCTATGTCAAAGGAAAAAAAAAATTATGTATATAAAAATAAGACTAATTTCACAAACCAAAAACAATTACAGAAGAGAGGGAGATTTAATGTTGTCCATAGAAAGACATTAAATGTCAGACTGACAATTTAGTTATGGTTACAAACCATGCCATTTGGACTAATGGAATTTGAAGTTACTAGAAAAAGACAACAGATTTTAGATGCAGAATGACAAGGCTTATCTATAACATGTCAACGTTTTCGACGACTCTGAAATTTATAAATAGCTGGCGAGTTCACCGTTTCTTTCTTCACCTTCACTTTCTGAGTTTTATCCTACAAAAGAGTAAAAAGGTAATCAGTAAAGAGAAGGAAATGGTTTTGTAAAATCGAAAGGTTAATAAACTACCTATTAGCAGCCCTTTTCAAAGTTGAGAACACACAAAGCCCTACTGCCCAAGGCATTCACTGTAGGCAATGAATTAACTTCTCCCCTAGGCATCTAGAAAGTACTAGCTATGTACAGTCCTGGGAAAATTGAAAAGAAAGGTGTTCAAGTATTTGTTTCATTTAAAATTATAATTTTAATTCTCTCACGGAACCCCAGTTGAGAAAGGCTAACCTAAATGATCTACAAAGCTAAAGAATTTGACATTTAGAGGAATGATAAGAATATGAAAGAGGCATCTTATATTCCTCAGCTCTGCTATTTAACTACACAATGTTGTCTATTTTTAAACACCAATGAGTGACATGCACTGTTTTGTTAACCTGTTTAAATGTTACGGGAGCTGCTCATAAGCTATAAAGTTCATATGCTACCCGATCCTACCCTTTGCTGTTCCAAAGCACTGACTAATAACCCCCTTATTACCTTCTTAATCAAGGCACATTTCAACACTGTCAGAGTAACAGACACTGGCTCAAACCACTGCCCCTGAGGAGCAGACATTTTCACTGGGGTTGATTTACACACAGCTGAAATCCAGTCTGAGTTAAGACCTTTACAAGAAAGAAAAGGGAAAAAAAAAAAAGGCCTAAGGCTCTCTCTCCTCACCATAAGATCTTTGCGTGTTTGAATTTTCTGAGCAATAACGAACAATTTCTTCTCTCGTTCAATCCGCTGTGTCAAGCAGTTATATTGCTTTTGCCTTTCTTTAGCTATTCGCTGGAGAAGAAACACACACATTCTCAGTGAACAAAGAACAGGACAAAAATGAGTAAGAAACTGTTTCTTAATCCATTTAAGCCAACTGCATAGTTCATCAACTCCCTCCTTTCGCCAGAATCAACATAATATGGTAACAATAAAGTTACCCATTTTAGGAACATCACATTCTGCAGCTGAAAGGAACCCTGGGCCAGATGTAGTGGCTCACGCCCGTAATCCCAGCACTTTGGGAGGCTGAGGAGGCAGGGTCACTTGAGCCCAGGAGTTCAAGACCAGCGTAGGCAACGTAACGAGACTCTCTCAAAAAAAAAAAAAAAAAAATTAAAAAAGGAACCCTGTAGACTATCTTATCAAAACCCGTCATTTACAAATGCAGAAAAATGAGGCCCAGAGAAGAAGTGAGTGGTCCAAGGACACATGGCTCACCTGGAGCAGAGTCAGGACTGTCCCCCTCTCACAAATCCCAGGAATCTTTCCACTACTACACTAAGCTGCTTCCACCTTTGTGTGAGTGCCACAGTCACCTGAGATGATAGCAGGAATGAATCAGTGTTGGAAACCCTACACAAAGCGAATGGAGAGCAACAGAAGAGTCTGCAACAGAAGGTCCCCAGGCAGTGTGCTGGTGCCTAAAAATCTTACCACTCAGAAAGCAGAATAATTTTTTCAGCAGAAGCTGACCAGAGAATTCTCACTGCTAATGACTCCTCAAAGATCAGTGGGGTCCTTAGGTTTTGGGAAATCATCAACCTTAGAGAAATTGATGAAAGCTTTGGGATCTTTCTTTTTTTTTTTTTTTTTTTTTTTTTTTTTTTTGTGAGGCAGAGTCTTGCTCTATCACCCAGGCTGGAATGCAATGGCACGATCTCAGCTCGCTACAACCTCCGCCTCCTGGGTTCAAGCAATTCTCCTGCCTCAGCCTCCCTAGTAGATGGGATTACAGGCGCCCACCACCATGCCTGGCTCATTTTTGTATTTTTAGTAGAGACAGGGTTTCACCATGTTGGCCAGGCTAGTCTCGAACTCCTGACCTCAAGCGATCCACCTACCTTGGCCTCCCAAAGTGCTGGGACTACAGGCATGAGCCACCACGCCCAGCCTGGCATCTTTCTTGAGATAAATGTACATACACATTTGCAAAAGGTTGTGCAAGCACATACCTATCTGCACAAAATACCAGTGAGAAAGGGGGGTTTTCACAGACCTCCTAAAGCTCACTCATGGGTTGTCTACCCACTCCAAGTTACAGACAAAATATCCTTGCAATCCACCCACCAGCAGTCAGTCTTAATAAAAATAAAATTTTTGCAAGTAAAACAAAACAGAAAGAAACAACACTAACTAGACAAAAAAAGGGGGGGGGGGGGGGGGCAATGGGCAAAAATCTAAACCTCCTAAACCTCTCAAAGCTATGCTGATGAATACTATTCTACATGGAATTTGGATTACTAATCTCTTCAGGACTACCACAACTCTTTGAGAAGGTCAGTGACAC